AATGCTTTTAAGAAAATTAAATTTCATAATTAAATGACCCATAAGGTGTTGATATGCCATAAACCAAACCAATTTTTATTTGGTTATCAGACACTATTAACTCCCTTTCAATTCTGGTTATACTTATTTTCCACATTATTTCTTTTAGAATAATAAATAATAATAATAATAATATAAATAATAAATATTTCCTTATAAGCTTGTTCACATATTCTTTTAATAATTTGTAAATATAAAATTATTCTTAGAGTGAACTATAAGAATATTTTTTATAATCTTGTAAATGAATAATTTATTGTCTTAGTTCATAAATTAAATCCTATACACTTTTAAAGATTCCAGTCATTGTTCTTACATCTGTCATGACAATAAAGAAATACATAACCAAAAAATCATTTATACTGTCACTTTGTCATGTTCATAAAAACATAAATAGAAATTAATTATAATGTCAAAAATAATTATAACAATTATAATTAATTCACTCTTTCTAAACCAATAAGAATTAACCCCATTTTTCTTCTTGACACACATAAATATGTGACATTCTCACTATCGGACAAGCAGTTCACATGAACAAGTCGATAACACGTCTGTCAATGAAAAATCCATCTCCTTTTCCTTTTTCCAGGTTATAGTATTAACATATCATTTAGCACTCAACAATAATTTAAAGTAAAAATAAAAAAAACAGATACTTCTTGTATTTTCCAACTCAATTATCTGAACACTCATTATGCACATCTATAAAAAACTATATGAGAAAGACGATACACTTTATTTATTCTTCAGTTATCGTTCAGTCAGATTCCGATCCATATTTGATCTATATGTGACCCTAAACTTACAATTTTACTCAGTATTACTGTCTTTCTTGTATCCAACGTCACCTAACAACCAGATAATAAATAATACTCATTTTGCTGTTACCACCTCTGGCTGTTATTTTTTGAAATATTTTTGTATATATAAATGTTAAGGGGTTTAATTATTTACTCAGAGTTATAACTCCCCAACACAGTGTAACGAAGTTAGTAGAATTGGTAGAATTATTGACTACAGTATAAAATAACTTATTTAGCAAATCATTTTGCTTAACTTTACGTTTTTCTTTCTTTTCTTTTTATTTGAGTTGCTTAAGTTCCACTGACGTCAGTCGTATGTTTGTTTGAAGACTTTTGCTTATAAGCAAGATGGAGTAATACAAATATTACTTTTATTAAGATTTTACATCATCCTATTATTTTTTTAAATGCACTGTTATTTCAGGATGTAGGTGATCATAACTAACTGTGGTTCTACAGGAGGATGTTGAGAATACCATGAATATGTTAGCAATTATTCAAGGGCACATAAAGAAGAAAGAGGAATTGGAAAATGTGACACTGACAGGACAGTGGCAAGGCAAGAGGGTCAGAGGAAAACAATGCATCACCTACCTGGTTATCTTAAGTAAATGGATGATGGAACAGGTTGTAGGAGAGATAATGAAAAGACAAAATTTAATAAGTACTACAAAGAACAGGAAATTGTGAAGAGCCATGATCAACGTCCTAAATAGACATGGCAAAGGGAAGAAGAATTTAAGGGTGTGAAACACATGAAGAAAGATATAAGCCGAGTGTATTTTCTGTGATTGCATATGAAGAAAATTACAGCGCATTTAACTTTCCAATAAGCCCTGGATATTTAACAAGACTCAGCTCAGTGTCAAAGCAGAGGAAAGGACTTTTATTAGGTGGATTCATTCACCAACATGTCAACCTGTTATTGACATGTTATAGGCATTGTTAGTGGATTTAATATTAAAATCTGATTTTTATTATACTTTATTCTAAAAATTAATATTGGTCGAGTTTATACACGCGTCAAAAGGTAAACATTGAGTCAAAGTGTAAACATTGTACTTGGAGAGTAACTCCTTTTTGGTGGGGTTTTTAAGAGACTTCATTGAAACAAAAACATGTCTGAATAGATGGGCATTCTTGGAAATGAGCAGCCATACTGAAGATAAGAAAGTCAAAACAGCATGAGTGAGGGTTGCTTTTAGTTACACAGCAATTATGATTTCTTAATTTCTGTTTTCTGCCCAGTTTGATGACGACTTCTTTCTTTCAAGATTGAATGTACCACTATCCCAACCACTTACAAACAACTGAGAATACCATTCAACATGTGATCAATGATAAAGTTTTAGAGAAAATGGATGGAAAAAGGATATTTATACTTAACATGAAGAAAAAACAGTTGAAATTTCAAGGGCACATAATGAAGAAAGAGGAATTGGAAAATGTGACACTGACAGGACAGTGTCAAGGTAAGAAGGCCAGGAGAAAACAATGCATCAAAGACTTAAAGAGCTTGAGTAAATAAATGGCCGAACAGGTTTTAGGAAAGATAAAAGACAAAATTATTTACTCGGTGTTATTTTCCCACTACAGATATTTCTTTTATAATCTTGTAAATAAATAATTTACAGTCTTAGTTCATAAATTAAATTCTATTAAATTCTTTTAATGAATATGGTTGTTGTTTTTGCATCTTTTTTATAATCTTGTGAATAAACAAACAAATAAATAATGTTTAACATTCTCAAATTTCAAGAAGAAAAAAAATGTAGAAATCCAGTTTCATATTTTAGGGTTTTATTAAAAGTATAAAAATAGTCTTTTAAAACAATAAATAATACTGAAGGAGTGATGTGGATATAAACGTCATTTTTAGGCTTATATTTTAATTAATATTGCTCAAAATTAATTTTAATTGACACCATGTGATTCTACTCATAAAAATCAGCATTAAATTGGAAATGCACAAATTAAATAAATAAATAACCTTTCTCAAGTCACAACATTTGTCAAAAAAAAAAAAGAAAGATTTATTATTGATTTAGAAAGGGGATTCTATTCATAATATTGATCCCTGACTTTTATAGAGTTATCTGCCCTTAGTTTTTAAATGTTGTGCCTTAAAAATCTGTTTGCACCATTATCGGTATATTCTTTTACATTTTGTCAATTTATGTAAATATTTCTTCCTTAATTAAAAATGTAGCATTACCAAATTTGTAAAATTGAAATTTCCTCTTAGTTGTTGATTGTGAAAAAATACTTACATTTCCTTAGTTTTATAAACATTTGTTTTGTGGGGAATATCTGCCCATGAAACTTGTGCATTATTTTTTTCAACCCTAAATATGAGATATCGTTCAAAGGCCAACTGCAGCATTTTCAATATAGTGGTTCCTTCTTCTGTAACAGGTAAGTAAGCCAACATATGACATCCCACTATTGGTTTATTCTGCCAAAATAAAATTAGAAAATAAAACTCAGTTATATTGCTTAGAATTCAAATGTTACAAGGAGAAAAACAACAGGAAATAAAGGAAAAAAATATAAAGAGATTTAAAAAATTTAAAGTAAACAGTTAAATACATAACTTCCTGTTATTTAAAATATATAACACATAAATTAACCACAAACTAAAACAATTTAGATTTTAATTTGCATATAATTCTTTTACTTACTTTTCTTTATTAGACATTAAATTGTGTCACTTAATGTCCTCCATAATTTACCTAGACATTTCAGCTAAGCTGATGAATATTTGTGAGCGTTTCTTAAATTTAAAAAATTTTAAAAACTAGCAACATTTTTGCTCTTGTCTATAAAGACTTGTTACAAAATAAAATCATTGCATTCACTTTGATAAAGTCCCTCAGATGAAGAAAAACATTGGCTAAGATAAGTTTTCCTATTGTCTTCATTCAAAGAAATTTAAATTTAGAAATTACTTATTTGGGTAGCATCAAGGTTGCATTTTTTTGATACTAATGTTCACCTAATAAAAAATCCAAGGGCCACTCAAGGTAGAGGCTTACTGTGTGGTGCTGTATGAGCCTTCATGGGCTTCTGTAGAAAAGATAACAGTTAACTCTTTAGAGCTGAAGAGGCCAAGATTACACCAGAATCATTGTATTAAATAACAGAACTTCAACTAATTGAGAACTTTTAACTGATAACAACAACTAAAATGGACAGCACATGTGTTCCAAGAGAAAATAATGATATAATGAAGGCATCAATGTATCACTCATGAAGCAATTAGTTAGGAAGGAAATACACCCTCAAAAGAGAGAGAGAGATAACAGTTAGTGGTCAAGATAAAACTATATTCCTGAAAAATTGTTTTAAGAGAAAAATTTTACAAATTTTAACCAAAAGCAGTACTGGCTGCTTGGTCAATGAATAGCAAATGTTTTGTTATATGGAAACAGCAATTATTACCATTAGAGATAATGTGAACAGATACCACACTCTGATCCCAGCCTGTCATTTTTAGGCACATAATATTGTTATTAATATTGCTTAAAATTAATTTTAATTCATACCATGTGATTCTACTCATAAAATCAGCATTAAATTGGAAAGTCCTTCACAGGAAGAAAGGTATTGGCTAAAATAAATTTTCTTTTTATCTTTATTCAAATTTAACTCTAAAGAGTTGAAGAGGCTAAGATTGTATTGATTGAGAAAATACTGAAAAGAAATAAATAATCAAGGTTGAGGGCATAACTGCTGAAATTTTGGCTGATAATTTTCCCCAGTATGTAGACATTGACACCTTTCATCAGGTGACCTTAACCTCTGGCCCTATTGTGTCCAGCTGAACCTGCCAGCTGTGTTTTGCTGAATCACAATGTTGTGATAATAACAATAATGATGAGAATAAATAAATAATGAATGATGGTTGTAAGGAAGGATGTTGTGATAATTAACAATAATGATGAGAATAACAAAAATGAATGAAATGAAATAAATAATGAAGGTTTGGGGGCACACCATTTGAAATAATGATGAGAATACCAAAATAATGGATGACATAGGGGGACGTTCTGAAATAAGAAAAAGATGAAATGAAATAAATAATAAGGTTTAATTGGACAAAACATTTAATTGGGAATACCATTGACATTTCTGGACATTACAGAAGTTTGGACCAGAACAGAAATGAGATTAAGAGGAATATTAAGTCACAGAAACCTTGTGATGATAAATAAATGTTTCAGTAGGACACGCATGCTTTAAGTGTGTTGTTTAATTCAAAGTCACTTTTATATTCTACATTCTTTTTAAATCTCAGGATGTTTTCTCCATGCATTTAATTGGGTATTGTTTATGTGGTGTATATGGGTGCATCTCTGCATTCTTGGTTTCAGAGAGATGCCAGTGTTTACATCTTACCCTAATGATAGTTGATGAAATACAGTAAGCCAATTCCTTTATCAGAAAATTGATTTTCAGCTCAATTGAATCCTGTCTGCTTTCATTTACATTGGCTTGATGGGAAAAGGTTTGTGTGTGTATACTAAAAATTTTCTTCTAATTAATGCTACCACACGTATCCATATATAAACACATATGTATAATCAATAGATTTACAGCTACTATAAACTTATATACTTTTCCCCCAAGCATAAATATATACATATAAATACTAGAATATCAAGTTTCAATATTTGATATCTAGGACTCAAGATCTTCTTCTAGGTGCCATGAAGATTCAGAATGTTGGTGAGCATGGCTCTCCACTATTTTCTGTCTTTTGTAGCTCTTAATAAATTCTGCTTTTTTGTTATCTCTCTTAAAACTTGTTCTGCCATCCATTTACTCAAGCTCACTAGGTAGGTTATGTAATGTTTTCCTCTGTCTCTCTTGCCTTCAATCAATCCTGTGAGTGTCATATTTTCCAATTCCTCTTTCCTCATTATGTACCCTAGAAATTTCAACTATCTCTTCTCTTTCTGATGCTAAGTATAAGTTTTCGTTTTTTTTCCATATTTTCTAAAACTTTGTTGCTGCTCACATGTTCGGTCCATGGTATTCACAGTATCAATCGGAAGAACAACATTTCTGTCGCTTAAAATCTTTTCTTTATCTTTGAGGAGATTGTCTAGTATTCACTACCATATAGGAGGACCAATATTACCTAACAGCTTTTTTCTTTGTTTCTAACAAAATTTTCCCATTTCTTAATAAATTGCTTAGCTTTTGGAAGTCATCTTTCACTATCCCAGTGCCTCTTTGGTTTTCACTGTCACACTTCCCGTCCTCAGTTAAAACACTTCCCAGATATTTAAATTGCTGTACTTGTTTGATTTTGGTATCCTTAATTTGTAATTTGGATGTTCCGTTGTTCCTTTTCTTGGGTACCACAATCCCAACAACATAAGATATGCAGACGACACTGTGTTGATGTGTGAAGTATTCTGCTTATGCTGCCTGTACATCTTCTCATCTAGACACCATGAGCATTGTCTACAGATTTACTACTCACCCTTAGCAAGTAATGTAGCCGCTTATATAGTAAGCAGCAGGTATGGTACATTTGCATAGGTGTGATGTCCATTTCATCAAATCATGTTTGATGTGCATGTGCACATGTAGGTCTCAAACTGGATTTCCTGTTACAGCTGCAGCAACTCGAACACGCTTCATACTAGGTAAGCCACACTCTGCATTACTACAGTTAATAGTAGACACAGAAAGGAAACTCCTATAAAAGTTATTGTGGGAAAGCAAGAAGAAAAGACTAAATATCAATTGCAAGAACCCTGAGCCCAAGCTACGAAAGCATAAAATATCAATTCATACGCACATTCTTTTTTATATAGTAGGAAAGTATTTAAACATTTTTTCAGGAGAGGTAAATGAATCAGAATTAATTAGTCTTACCTGTTGGTAAGAACTGGGTATTTCGTATTCTATTTCATAAACATTTTTAATGCTTATTTGTTCCCCAAACCAACAGGAATTTTTCTTGACAGACATGGTTCCAGGTGGGTGGTTTCCCAGAATAGTCTGAGATGAATGATTGCAAATGGTGCATGGTTTTTCAATGCAATTAAAGCAAGAAATGTGCTTGCAATTCTTTTCATACTTCACTCCAGTGATGGGTTTCTTGCAAGCAACACATCTTAAACTTTTTTCAACAGCTTTCACCTCCCTGGAAGACAAAAATAAAACATACTATTAGTCATTTACACCAATCACAGAGAAATCATCAGTCAGCTATTAGGAGACTAGGTTGGTTAGCTAATCCCTGCTGCAGATGCTTCCTCAGGCATATTTCTACTTCTTCAACACCCACAAAGCCAAGCTGCAGTTTATATTGAAAAATAAGCTGAGCAGACCTTAGTCACAGTTTCTAATAGAGACAGTGCATAATCTGGCATGATCCATAGTTGAACAAGGCTTGTATGCTCAAGCCCTCTGTCACAATGACTTGTGAGTTTGTGCTATCACAATCATCAACAACTTGTATAGTATATAACCTTAGTGTTCTTCACTTCACATGTAAAAATTTTCTGATGAACACAATAACTTTGTCTTAGGAAAACGTTGAACACAACAAAATTTGGTCTTAGAAGAAAACAAGACTCTGATGATGACATTGTGCTAATGTTGAAAGTACTTGGAATAAATGAATATGCAGCAACATGGTAATTTCCTTTCTTCTTTTAATAAGGATATTAAGAATATTGTCTGTAATTACTAGAGGATCCTATTGAAAATAAGTAGACAAAACTTGTCTAAATTATTTAATGAGACATGTTTTAGTGAAAATTTTCTGACAAAATATACACTATATATATATATATATATATGTATATATATATATATGTGAGTGTGTGTACATACATGCATTTATAGAACATGTATATATCTCTCTCTCTCTCACTGTGCATTTTCTGTCATACACACACATTATATATATATATATATATATATATATATATATATATATATATATAGTTTATGCAAACTTCGGTAATCCGTTAAAGGGGTTATGGTGAAATAGCTTATTACATGGAATCTTAATGTGGTCTTTTTTTATTCAAATATATATATATATATATATATATAGAGTGTATCAAAAATACTTTTACAAACTTTGGGCACAGGTTATGCAAAACTAAAAAGGTTTATATATATAATTACTACCATATTTCACCTATTACAGCTAGTAGGAAATATAGCTGGGTCAAAAGAAAAACTATCCTTTTAATATACTACTTTTTTTGCAAGAATGCTTGTTAAACATTGCCAAAATTTCTTTCTACAGAAATAGCTGTAATGCAGTGACATCAATTAATTCCCAGAACTAGTTTTTCTAAATAATGATATCAAATGCACAAGAAATAGGAACAGTTTACATTTGTTTCCACATGTACATTAAAAGTTTGAAATTTTGTTTCTGGGTTATTTTCATTAGCTACCACTAAATGAGTCTCCACACTGAGTCTTTCATGGAGTCAAAGATTGTTTGTCTTGGGTAAGACGACAAAATATATCCGCATCCTGGGTAAGACAATAAACTACATCCAAGGGAGGTTTTGAAGAGCGTGGAACAGCTCTCAATTGCTGGTGTTCTCAGGTCCACCCTGACAAGAGTGGTAGCACCTGTTAGGGTTTCAACTATGGGGAAAATAGTTAACCCCCAAACTGGGGTCAAAACTCCATGAATGTGTAAAAATAGGTTTTAGTACCAGCAATACATTTTTGTAAAAAAATTATTACCAGCAATGAATTTTTGAAGGAAAAAATTACCTGCCACACCTTTTTGGAAAAATAATATAACCAGCAATACATTTTTGGAAACAAAAATATTACCAGCAATAAAAATCAAGTCAGTATTAAATAACTTAGATTGATATACCGTAAACAAAAGAAAATAAACAAAAAAATCAAAGATTGTCCAGCATTCACCGTCATATAAGATGACAGTTTAGTACACTTTTCTTTGATTCTAATGAAATTTTTCTGTTTCTTAATACTCTGCTTAGCTTTTGAAATGCATCTCTGGCTATACCAATGCACCTTCTGATTTCAATGTCCCACTTGAAGTAAGATATTATTATGTCATCGATATAATAATGCTAATAATGGGGGAAATGCAAACTGGGAGAATAAATCTATCTTCCACATCTCATCCATTATTACAATTAATACTACAACTGATAATATGTTTTTATTTTATTTAATGAATGTTTGCTTAGAACTTAAATTGTTTGTGTTTTGCCAGTACATAAAATGGTGAAAGCAATGATGACAAATTCTAATGTTTAAAGCAAGTAGAAATCTCTCATCCTCAAACATTAAAATGATCTTTCAATACTTATACTTCATTGTTTAAGGTGGAATGACATATGCATATAATTTCATCATCAGGTTTGAAAATTAAGAATTATACATATTAATATACTGAAAAGATCAAATGAAATACTTAGATGTTTACAAGTCTTCAGTAATATTGAAATTAAGAGAATTTACTTATTATTCCAGAATTCTATAGAAATATCACATTATACCTTCAGAAATATGGAAAATTCTACTCACGTGTCTTCATCTTTTCCATAACTGGCAGAATTATATTTTGACTGATGAATAGTGTTTTCAGTTTTTTCCATTGTCATTCTATAATTCAATAGAAATATCACATTATATATTTTCAGTGATATGAAAAATTAATAGAATTATTTATCATTCTATAATTCCATAGAAATATCACATTATACCTTCAGAAATATGGGAAATTCTACTCACGTGTTTTCATCTTTTCCATCACTGGAAATATTTGCAGAATTATCTTTTGACTGATGAATAGTGTTTTCAGTGTCTTCCATTGTCATTCTATAATTCAATAGAAATATCACATTATATATTTTCAGCAATATGGAAAATTAAGAGAATTTACTTATGATTCTATAATTCAATAGAAATATCACATTATATATCTTTAGCAATATGGAAAATTGAGAGAATTTACTTATTCTATAATTCAATAGAAATATCACATTATATATCTTTAGCAATATGGAAAATTGAGAGAATTTACTTATTCTATAATTCAATAGAAATATCACATCTTCAGCAATATGGTAACTTGAGAGAATTTACTTATCATTCTCTAATTCAATAAAAATATCACATTATACTTTCAGAAATATGGAAAATTCTACTCACGTGTTTTCATCTTTTCCATTACTGGAAATATTTGCAGAATTATCTTTTGACTGCTGAATAGTGTTTTCTGTTTTTTCCATTGTCATTCTATAATTCAATAGAAATATCACATTATATATTTTCAGCAATATGGAAAATCAAGAGAATTTATTTATCATTCTATCTGCCAATTTAAGTTCATGTCTGAGTACTGCTAGATATTCACATTCATGACAAAAATTTAATGTTGCAATTTGGGAATCAGCTGGAGAGAAGTTAAATATTTCTGATCTTGATTATTGTTATTTAGAAAGATATAGATGAGAAATGGAAAAATTTTTTGATGATTGCATGTCACTGTTGGGATACATAAAGTGATTACCTTTCTTTGGTTGAGATGAAGACTCTTAGGTCATGTGATGGTCGCTGGGTGCCGTCACTGCATAGCATAACGAAAGTGGTCAGATTCTAGAAATCAAACCTAAATCTGCCTCTCCCAGCCGCATGATGCAGCTTACGAGCCCATAGCACCATTTTCCTATGGAATTATATCTTCACTAGGTATAGAAAATATCTCTGGCATGTAATCATCATGCTGGGAAAACCCCAGGATTCAAGGTTTACCATTTGCAAAATATGTTCTCAATAGCAATATCGCAGATAAATCTGTCCCACTCAAATCTGGAAGCCTAAATATGTCTTCTTTAGAAATACAGAAGAACCTCTGGTAGACACAATTCCCACTGGGAATTATTACATGTAAGATTCTTTTTTCATCTCCTTTTCATTCTTTTGCAATATAACTTTATATATCTTCAGGAATATGGAAAATTAAGAGTATTTATTTATTATCCCATAATTCTCAAGAAATATTCCATAGAAATATCACATTATATATCTTAAGGAATATAAAAAATTAAGAGAATTATTTATCATTCTATAATTCCATAGAAATATCACATTATACCTTCAGAAATATGGAAAATTCTACTCACGTGTTTTCATCTTTTCCATCACCAGAATTATCTTTTTGACTGATGAATAGTGTTTTCAGTGTCTTCCATTGCCATTCTATAATTCAATAGAAATATCACATTATATATTTTCAGCAATATGGAAAATTAAGAGAATTTACTTATGATTCTATAATTCAATAGAAATATCACATTATATATCTTTAGCAATATGGAAAATTCTACTCACATGTCTTCATTTTTTTCATAACTGGGAATATTTGCAGAATTGTATTTTGATTGATGAATATTGTTGGCAGTGACTGCAGGGACTTCACTTAATTGTTTTGCAAAATCGTCTTTGATTGCCTTGCATGTAACAGGATTCATGTCAACAAAATGTATTTCTTTAAGTTGACAGTCTGATGGCTTTGTTTTGTAGAACTCTTTAACACCCATAACATAAGCATTTGTGCAGATATCAAGAGGAACTCCAAATATGCCTAAGGATAGAAAATGGTAAAGTCAGTCAAGATTCTTAGAATATGGCCAAAATTACAAAGAAAAATAAACTGGATTTATAAATCAGTTATCATCTATTTTACAATAAGTCTTTCATTTTATTATCTATTTTCCATCTAACAGCAGAAATCTAGGATTAACTGTTATCTTTTCCACATATCCTCATAAACTGTGCCTGTTACCTCTTACACTGTAACCCTCTACCTCGAGTGGCTCTTGAGCCTTGTACAGAGGGAACATTATTGTAAAAAAAAAAAAAAAAAAACAGAAGTCCTGGAATTTATTCTGTTTATAATATAGATTTTGGCTATATTATTAGAATATTTTGAAAATTTAAAAATATATAGGTTATGTAAGTACTTGCATTATTTACATTATCCGGACTGTTATCATCATCTTCATTGCTGTATTCACAACGTTTTGGCTTTTGTATGCTCTTGCCTTCTTCAGGTGATTGGAATTTCAAATTGAACCCCTTATTTCATCCACTGGGGTAAATTGTTCTAGTTCCAAGTGTCATGCTTTTTCTGGATGTCTCAGTTATTTCTCTTTAACTCTCCACGTTTTGTAAGTATTTAGTACATCTATTTGCATTAACCTCAGTTTGCTTGAATTTAGAGTATAATAGAAAAAACACCTAATTATGTTCATATATACATGTTAGAGAGTATTTGATATCATTATAGGTCCTATGTTGTGTGATATATTGCTTTGGTGAAGCTAGGTTGGTTAAGATAAATTATAAGTTCTGTGATGTGGAATAAAGTATTTTGGTGGGGTAGGGTGGTTAAGCTGAATAATTTATAGGTCCTATTGTGACACTATTAAGAAGGTGTTATGTTTTTTCAATAGACTGAAAAGTTTACTGATAACAATAACAAGAAAAATGCTATTTTACTATTGACAGAAAGTATACTGATAAAATGACAAGGAAATGAAAGAAAAGGATATTTGTTTTTTTTCTCTCCCCATCCTGGGTTGAGATGCTGATGACAGCTTAGAAGTCATCTGTTTTTGGTCAAGTTAATATTAAGTGATGGTATTTTCTTAATTGTCTAATCAATCCCGAGCGGAAGAATAGATTATATCTTAATGATCACAAATGCCAATGATGGCCAGCATAGAAGTCATCTGTTTTTAACCAAATTCCAATGGGAAACAGGAATGGAATTATAGTTATATTTTTTTCTTGTCTGCCTAAGATGCAATAAAATTTTTTAAAACAAAGAAATTGTCTTTTTTTGTCACTTGCTGACCAAAGAGCTGGTGAGGCGAAGCGACAAATGACAAATCTCAGATATGACCAACCCCACAAGGACGCAGTAAGAATCTCCCACTGATGGAAATTTTGGATGATAATTGAATTTAGTAATTTGGGATAGACCACGCCTAGCCTTTAGGGACAAGTTTGACTAGGGAGCAGAAAGCAAGATAAAAGGCCCAGGTAGAATTTAAAGGAAGGCAAAAAAATTGCCTGCACCCTTCGTGTGGTGATGGTGAAATGTACCCAAATGAAATAGGAGGTGTTGGGTGGATCGATATTCTGCCACCACCACTCTTTGGGGGAGGGGTTTCCCCAAATTTGGTCAGGTAATCAATTTCCCAACCACCTCCTGCCCTGTGCCAGATTTACATGAGGGTCCATAAATACAGACAAGTGAGGAGATAAACAAGAAAAAGGAACCAGACAGCTTGAGATGCTGTTTGCGAGAGAGATGCATGCCAATTGGTTCAAGACCTGCTTTGCCAAACCCCACACAACTTCTGCAGAAAGAACTTAAGACTTTGGCTTTGTTCCAGACTACCAAATACAATTGAATGGTCAGCCTGAAGAAATCATAGAGTGAAAGAAATCAGACTTCAGCCTTGTACCAGTTTACCGAGCATGGCTAAACATAGTGTCGCAGAGTATTAAGGGGAGAGGTGCTGAAAACCCGCATGTTGCTAATTTAGTGAGTAGAATGTTCATAGTATGAACCTTTGATATAAAGTTGTCGTATTACACAGCTGTCTCTTACTTTGTTCCTTGTGGTGTCATCTTGCCAACACTACCAGATCAGTGACATTGAATATATGATTCAGTCTTCACCTGCCCTGTGATCTAAAATAAACACAACATGGGCAGGGTGAGACTGAGGATTGGGGTGACCAACTCCAAGGCTGGCCATCAGGATTGACCACAGACTTGCCTGGTTACTGAGTGTGGGATTGTGATGTCATACTATACTGTGTGATATATTATTTTGGTGAAGTTAAATTGGTTAAGGTGAATAAATTATAGGAATAAATGATGTGGAATACATTGTTTTGGTGGGGTAGGTTGGTTAAGGTGAATAAATTATAGGTCCTATGATGTGGAATACATTGTTTTGGTGGGGTAGGTTGGTTAAGGTGAATAAATTATAGGTCCTATGATGTGGAATACATTGTTTTGGTGGGGTAGGTTGGTTAAGGTGAATAAATCATATATCAAAATAATGGATGAGTAATGTTTTGACATAATGCATTACATTTTACATGCATGTTTTGACATTGAATATTAAAAAAATTGAAGCAAAAATAAAAAATACATTAACATTTATTACTCCTTGTGGAGTTCTGGGGTGCAATAAGCAGTAAAATGGCTAAGAAGGCTTTCAGTTCATCAAAAAAGTGCTTCCCCGTGTTTACATACAAGAAAACACCAGCATTTGCTTGGTGTTTCTTTCACCTGAATAGCATATTTATTTGTCTCATTGACAAATAAAGTTATTATTTCATTGTTTATAAATAGACAAAATAATTCACCTTCAGAAAGGCTATCAAGTACATCCATGAGACTAGTAGCTTCTATAAAATTAATCAGTCATGGATGATCGTGGCTGCTTGGCACCTGGTGGATTTCATAGCTTTCCTCCTTGTCACTTGCATTGTTATCATCTCAGACCACTTCACCATCAGTATCTGCTTGAGTAAAGCCTTCAAAATTATCATCAGAGTCCAAATCAAAGAAAAACTCCCGAATAAAGTTTTTGTTAGATGTTGATGCAGCCATTTTTGTTTAGAAAAAATTGCAACAAAATTAATGTGGATTTAATCAATCTTACACCTTGTATAGAGTCTAGAAGAATTGAAAATGGTGTAAGTAAATGGAAGTTTACTCTCATTCCAAAGCGGTAGTAAGCTATTTCCAGCTTAAAATACTTGAAATAACAGTTGACAAATGTTTATTTATAGCAACTGTCTGACGACAACAGAATATGCCTAGAGCTACAAAGGGAGAGGATTCTATATTGACAGTTTTTGCCTCCAGCTAGATAAAGGTTAAATTAAATAATTATAGTTCCTATGCTGTATGATATATTGTTTTGGTGAAGTTAAATTGGTTAAGTTAAATAAATTATAGGTCATAAAGTTAAAAAATGACACAAAAACAGCCCAAGTGATATACAGTTACTAAGCAAATTTTTACTATGATGGCAACTCTGCCAATAGTGATTTACTTGGGTTTTACAATTTAGAATTTGGAAATCATTTTATTGATAATGATATTTAAATATGCTATGTTGTAATTAAATTTTAACACTACATCATTCTTGCGAAGAAAACATTACATTCTTATCATACTGCAGAAGGTACAAGGCCATTTTCAGAGAAGAATGTCAAGGATGGTGAGATGAAAAGAAAGTACATCTTCTGTTATGATAATTGTGCCCTACTGAACTTGAAAATATTTGAATTTCATTTTGTGAATACTCCAGAAAAGGTGTGATTTAAGAAAACCATAAAGAAGATTTTTTTATCACAAAATGCATTTACTAAGGAAAAAATGAAGATTTTGTCACATATGCCGGTCAAGTCAACTGTGAGCAGGAGAAATTTAAACTGGATGAATTACCCCCAGACAGACAGATTTAAAGGTCTAACATCAAACAACAATGCAAAAATAGGCTCTTGAATCCTTACAAAATTTGAACAGGATTCAAAGTTAATGATACAAACTGTTGAAGAAAAGAATGCAAAAAAATGATCAATTTAAAGCATGCTACAGAAAATTGAACAAATAGCACATCAGAATTACAAGTAGAGTGAAAAAAGATAGTAGTACCAAACGAAAAAAATCTGGAATAAAAAACACTGCAAAACTTAACCCATGCTATGACTGTGGTATGCTTAATTTCAGAAAGGACCAACCATTTAAAACCAAAAAATGTTTTAATTGTGGAAAAATAGGTCACAAAACAAAGCTACTGCAAGTTGAAATGCAAAAGAAATACACAAATTAACTTGCTGAAAGTCATACTACCAGCTAAAAAAACTGGAAATTTCAAATAATAGAAAATTTGTGACAGTAAAAATGAATAACACTTTGGTGATATTTCAATTGGACACTGGTAGCAATATTAAAATTATTGATGAATGAACTTGGAACAGAATTGGCAAAACCTAACTTTAAAAAAAAACTGCAAAAGTTATATCTGGAAAATCTGGCAAGAAATTAATTTTTCTTTGGAAAATTACATGTAACATTGTTCTAAAAAAGCAGATGTATATGTATTAAAAAATTCCAACTTGAATTTACTAGGGAATTGATTGGCTAGAATCATTTAAACTATGGAATTGTTCAATTAATTCATTCTGTGGAAAAATTAATTGTTCTTCAGAGAAAAAGATTACAGCTAAAAAACACTGAATAAACTAAAAAATAAATTCATGAATATTTTCTCAGAGGAGTTGGGAAAATGTAGAAAGTCAAAGGCATTTTTAAATTAAAAGAAAATGTGATACCAGAGTGTCTAAAAGAAAGATACCTTTTACTGCATTGAAGTCTATTAACACCAAAATAAAACTGAACTTGATAGGTTATTAAGAAACCATCAGAGTTATTGAAAAAAATAAAAGGTTATTCAGATTTTGGGCTATGTGAATGCAGTTTATAAAGGATCTCCTACCAAGTTTACAAGATATATTTGCCAAATTAAAACTAGTTCCAGGTATTTTCCAGCAAATAGTGGATATGAGTTTGGCTGAACTAGAAGGTACCATTGTTTACATAGATGATATACTTAATAAATGTGTTATGAAAATACAGCACATAAAATTGATTCAAAAAGTATTTCAGAGACTACATAATTATGGTTTCAAAATCACTGAAAAGAAATATCAATTTTTATGAATAAGATTACATATTTATGTCAGATAATCAATGAAAAGGATCCCACTAAAGAAGACCAGATCCCACAAGAAGAATTGCTCAGATTAAAAACATGATGTTTACCAGATATGTACAAATTACAAGCACCTTTGATAATTTGCTTAAGAAGGGTATGAAATGGAATTGGTCAGCAGAATTTCAAAAAGCCTTTTGAAGGAATTAAAAAACTACTAATTTCAGAGTTATCATTGACACATTATAACCCACAGTAACAGATAATAGTAGCATCAGACACAAGCAAATATGGCATAAGATATAGGCCATAAATTAAAAGATGGTAATAAAGGCAGTTGCACACAAATTAAAAAGACAAATACAGGAAAAATTCTACAGTCAATGAAAAGGAAGTCTATAATTTTTTTACATTTCTCAGGATCAAGAAGTTTGACAAATATCCAAAAAAATTCAGTTCTAAGAAAGTCAAATTGCAAAAAAGGAAGTGTTGGGCTATAATTTTTTGAACTATGGTTTAAAGAAATTGCTAACATGCAGATGCCTTGTCCAGATTGATATTAAAATGTAAAGAAGATTTTGAAGATACTGGATATTTTCATGGAATCTGAAAGTGAAATTAAAAGCCTGGTATAACACTATTAAAGAATTGCTGGTCATGATAGACAATATCAAATTTTTGATAAAAAAAAAAGATACATTTATTCAAAAAACTGAATGACATTAAGTTGAAATGGAGTGAAACTAAAATTAAAACTGCTAACAAGAATACAGCAATTTTATTTGTGATGGAATACTTTTATATGCAGAAAGAGTTGTAATTCTGTTATCACTACAAAGAATGATTTTCAAACAATTCCACGTAGGACATCTGGGAATAGTGAGGATGAAGTCCCTGATGAGAAGCTACATGTATTGGCCAAAGTTGGACAGAGATCTTAAAAATACAGTTAGAAATGCAATGGTTGTAGTTCAATAGCAAAATCACCACCTATAAATTATCAGGAAAAAATCCATCTTTAAATCTATAGATTTTAAAAGCACATAAATGTAGATGACTTACAAAAATCATGTAAAATAAATGAAATAAGCTCATGAAGTTATTGCTTTAAATCTAAGAGAAAAGATATTGATTATCATTGAATGGAATAGAATTGTTAGATTGTCTTTTACAGGAAGATAATCCATCTCTAAGCGTGTAGGTTTTACAAGTACATGAATGTAGAGTAATTACATTAGTGATATGCCATAAAATATACTTACCAGAGCTTATTGCTGGTAAAGCCACAGAACGCAAACCTAATTGATTTGTCTTTTTCAGTGAATTGTACACAGTCTCTCCAAGTATTTTTTTGCAATTTCTACTAAGGGGTATTTATTGGTCCAACAGCATTGATGATATTTCTATATTGTGTTAGGTTACCAGCAGAGGTTGATAATACTTCGCCATCATTCAATGCTCTACCATTACATGTTCTTTGTCCTTTTGTTGACAACATCCCCAGCTGCTTTTAATAATTGCCTTTGAATAACACTCACACTAATAGTACTTCCTCAATAATACTCGCTCAAATAGTAATCCGTATAGTGATCCAAATAGTATAGTTAATAGCATAGAGAAATAGTATAGTGAATAGAGTAGAGAATAGTGGTCTGTATAGCAACAGAGAATAGAGTAGTAATAGTGATCAATTAGACGCCAAGCTAATTCCCATATATACATTTCCTCTATGGTCACATGATCTACTTAATTCAATAATGGGATCGCCATTTAAATCAAATTAAACTTTTAACCAATTTTATAACTTTTCATCTTTTTTGCATGATTTTTTTATTTTCTCTTTCTTTTGCTTTTGCCAAATGATTGACATGTGCACATGCACACACAAATACACATACATACAAACATATACATGTGTACACACACAAACACATACATTAATATACACATACACACACACATATATATATATATCTGCACACACAAGAGAAGTTTTCCCTGATCACTACAATCTTAACCTGTTCATGTCTAGGGTTAACCATCATCTTCCCTTCCTATTTGTACAAACTGCTTCCTAACATAACCCTCTAGCTCAAGTGGCCTCTGGGGCCTTGTACAGGATGAACCTTACTGTAAAAAAAATACATGCATATATATATATATATATATATATATATAAATATATATATATATGAAATTTTTTCAACTGATAATTAGGGAGGATAATTCCAAGGAGGACATTAATCCAAAGTTTATCAATGTAAGAAACAGAGCAATATGCAATTTTTAGAATACTTTAAAATCCATCTGATGGATTTTTATGATTACTATTGTTATATATATATATATATATATATATATATATATATATATATATACACACACAAACTAAGAAACAAAAAGATTTTACTTTTGATACTTACTAGAGCTTAATGCAGGTAAAGCCACACTCTGTGTAGGCTAAGATTCATGGCTTCACACAGTGAATTCAGAACAGCTGTGCTTATTTTATTCAAACAATAATCACCTTTTTTGAGGGATGATACATGGGTCCAACAGCATGAATGATATTTTGTATCGCCTCAGGTTACCAGCAGAGGTTGATAATACTTCCCCCATCATTTAATGTTTTACCATTAAGTTTTTCTTTGTCCTTCTATGTTACAGCATCTCCAGCTGCATTAATAATTGCCCGAGCAACTCCACCAGCATGAGCAAGCCATTTGTTAGCAGCATTAACAATGCCATCCACATTGACATTCAGAATATCAGCATGATAAACTTTGACAAGGAGACTATCTCCCATTTGAAAGCAGCAAATATCTTGAATGTTCTGGGTGCTTTGAGTGGTGCTTCTGGGTGCTTCATTTCTTGCATGTCCTTCTGGAAGCAACTGAGAATGTTCATGAGAAATTTTATCTCCATCTCTCTTTGGAATACTTTTAAAATCATCAGGCATTTTATGACTTGTAACAGGATGCTTGGTTCTTTCTGATTCATGTGTCGATGGAACATGATCACTTGCTTCTTTAATATCATCTGATTCTTGTTTGTTTGTGTTGAATCGATCTTTAGAAAGTGAAATGTTTTTTCTCAAACCAAGGAAATAGTCTAATTGATGCTTTGCTTCCTCACCCCTCTCAAATTCAAAAGTTTTGAAAAGCACTTCCTGTTCATCTTTGCTGATTTCACATTTTACTTTTGTATACTCCTGATTCATCTTGATTAAGAAGTGCCTGATTTGTTTTATGTTTACATTAGAAGGAATCTTATATGAATATTTATTACAATGTTTTCTTAATTCATTTAGATGCTTTTCAAATTGTGTAGAAGAACGTCTTGGGACTAAAAGATTTCCCTGCTCCAAGCATAAC